AACCGCTGAGTGAGTATGTGTGAGGAGAGATCACAGTGAGCCTTCACCCCCCAGGTCCAACTCGGTCTCAGCACCGTTTCTGTTCCCGAGGGTCGACACATGCCGAGTCCTAGTTATCTAATTTCAGAATTAAGAACAAGAGGCTTTGTTGAGGAAATCTCATTTTTAAGATACTTACACCAGCTTTGTACATTTGTAGCAGCATGCTCGTGTGTTTCTGCTTTCTGCACATGCATCTCTGTGATGCTCTTGGATGTGTGACTCTCACAATCAATCGCAGGCCCCTCAGAGCAGGCTGCGACACAAACATGACATCACCACACCACGCCATCTGCCCAGACACACTCCATATGTTAGTCAGATCATAATGAACACCAGGGTCACCAAATCTCAGAGCTGGCAGCACAGAAGTTGCGTAACAGCGTGATTTCTGGGGCAAAACCAAGCCAGAATGAGTACATGCAGGATGACTTTGGTTTGAAGGACTGAGCACTGATGACAATTATGCCTCTAATCTGATCCCAAAGCCTGGAATCTCTTATCCCCACTAAGTAGGCCTGGGCCGCCTTAATCAGACCAACCAGGGGCTTAATAACTTCAGGCCTGATGCTGAATAATGCTGCAGTGAGATGCAGACAATACGGCGCCACACACACACACAGCATTATCCACCTGCCTCTGTCCTTTCCATGTACAATGTAATGATGAGACACAAAGCTGCGTTAATCCTCTGGGTTAGCAGGTAATCAGGAGACGGGGTGATGCTGAGGCCAGTACAACAGGAGGAGGCACAGAAATGCACTGTCCATGAAAGTGCATCAGCAAAAAAGGCAGCACAGCTGAGGTGCAACAACACTGACAGACTTCGTGCCTTTGCCTTCCATGTTGCAGGTGTGGTTCAAGGGGCTCCTTTGCAATAAACTGCCATTAAATCAGTCACTGCCCACTCAGATATATAACAAACAAGTGGACATGTGGGCCTGGGGCCTGCTTTGCGATTTTGGCCCTTGTTGGGCGCTTTCATGGTTCAAAAACCTCAACATCCGCAAAATTCAGGGCCTGTTTTGGCCCTTAACAAACACTCACACCCTAAATTATGTCACTCCCCCCCCCCCCAGATGATCAGTGCTTTCACAAAACGCAGGCAACGTTTACTCTGTCAAACTGCGGAGCTATTCTGGGAAACGCCACTGACAACATCGTCACAACTGGCAGAGGAGGAGAGACGAAGCGGCTCCAGACTCAGACAGTTACCACAGTGCGAGCACTCGTGCGTGAGATGCGTTTTACAATGGATGCAACCTCCTCCTTTCCATCCATCGCTCCTGCATGAAACCAGTTAACCAAGCTCCAGCAGTAGGGCTTTGCCATGATCACACCACACAGACCTGTCCAACAGGACACCTGATGACTCACCTTGCTCCAGGTCCCGCTGGTCGTACCACGGCTCCTCTTCCTCCGTGATGAACTCCTCCATCCTGCCGGCACGAAGCATCGATGTTGATGAGCTTCTTCTGCACCGGCCGATGAGATCTGCTAATTCACCGACGGCTTGTCCGGAAGTGACAACAAACAACAGCGGCGCTGCGTGCCCACGCGTGTAACCCTTTGAGACAATTTACTTAAAGTGAAAATCCCGCAAACGCGCCGGCTTCTTCACACATCAGCAGAAATGACCATAACCGAGCGTCCAGCCCTGAAGTATCACAGGCCGACAGAGCCAGTGTGTTTGTCTTGGTCTCATTAGTGTGTGATGTGCAGCTGGGCCAGGCCCGGATCGGCTCTGCTCACAGCCAAATGCCGCTGCGTTCAAGTGCCGTCGGAAATAGCATTCTCTAAATCCTTATACTGCTGCTTGTTTTATTTCTACTGTCTGAAACAGCGGAATATTGATTTGACTCCATCACCGCTGACTGGTGTGAAATCTCACGTTAAATTAAACTGACACATCATAAAATAATCCGTCCATCTTCTATGGTTTATTTTGAATGTGCAGAATGTAATGATTTAATTTCTTTGAAGGCTGTTCTTTGTCTTTGCGATGTGAACAATTATTCTAAGTTGGAACAGGCTACATTAGCTCAGCACTAAAGTGAAAAGTCTACCGTATTGAAGGCGGGGCTTCTATCTAAAGCGGAAGTTACAAAGAGCCCCTAAAGGCAGCATCTCTGGAGGTGATGTCACTGTTTATCTGACAGCGTCCCAGGCACAGACGGCTCCTACCTTCCTCCTCCGCTCACCAAAGCAGCAATAAGTGTAACTGTCCACTTAATAGCAGTCATTAATTAACTCCCAATAGGGGATATGGCACACTGTGTTCATCTGCTAAGCGTAGGCTTTATTGTAAACATGAAGGAACAACTTGTAGATATATTATGGCTGTTCAGACTCTTAGTGGCTTTCCCTAGGCACTGTAACCAAGGAACATCTCCCTCACTGGAAACAGCGTTGCTCTTTTAAAAACAAACAACCAAAGAACCCAAAACAAAACAAACAAAAAACATCCTTCAGCACAAAGTCTCCTATGGGAAAACCAAGTTTAGTTTAAAGAAACCAAAAGTACAACCTAGACAGTCTGATAGTGTCCTTTACATACATTTATGTCCATTTACTTTGTTCTCTGTCCTGCAGTCCAACAGCCAAAGACAAAATATGTAGCAGCAGTAAAAAAAAGAACCTCTAGGCTCTAATAAGAGCTATTAGACACGTTCAGGTGTTTTTTTTGTGCTTTTCCTCCGTTTACTTCAAGTTATGTCTACCTCACATTTTTGTCAACCATTTCCAAATGGTATTTGTAGCCATGCTAGTGGAGTGGCTCAATGGAAATGTTCACTGCTTTGTTCCACAATGAATCAACAACTATTTAACACATTGGTTCAGACTTTCATGGTCCCAAGAGGATAAATGCGAATGACTTTGGTGGTCTCTTGATCATCACAGTGAGTGTGGTCATCAGTGTACTTCCTAAACATCAGCATATTAGCACGCTGATGTCAGCATTTAGCTCAAAGTACAGCCACTAGCATGGATGGATCTTAATGCTGTTTGCTTTAAGAAGCTTCTGTTTTCACTTAATCTCAGTATGAAAATCAACTCGCAGCCATTTGATACATGTTTTCTTGCAGGTTTAAATGCAGATAAGGAAAACGTACGGTGCAGCACCACAAATTTCTGTATTATAATGAAATTAAAAAAGAGCTATTCCTGTTTGGAAAGCACTGTAAAAACGTATCGCATGCTTTGGCCAGTAAAAATGCGAGGTATACACATCTTGTAGTAAATGGCTGAAACATAAAGAACACTCATTGTGCAAACAGAGTGCTACCTCTGCTCTCTCAGACTGCACCGGTCTGTATTTTATTGCTCAACTACTGACAAGCTACTGCAGCAGTGACCAGCCTGAAAAAAGCTGAACTCAACCATAAACCTGGTCAGCTGGTGTCTCTGATGAAGTCTGAGGTCACTGGAACAAGAGAAGCTTAGGTCCTGACAAAGAGGAAGGGTCTGACCTTTAAAATGGCTTCCCTTCCCTTCATTCCTTGTTTCCTGTGGTTTTACGTCTTTTAAGGTGCTTCCAGTCTGCTTCACTCTCACAGCGCTGGACTTGGCTGAAGAATTTCTTGATGAGAGCTTTGGCTTCTGCTTTAACTGTGGATACAGAGACAAGAGCTGGAAAGTCTCATGTAGCAATGCAAAGGTGGGATGTTTGAAATTATTTATGCTTACCTTGGCCTTTTCCATGACCCCTTCCCTCTACAAGAAGGTGGGACAAGTAGCGAGCAAAAGACTTGAACAGTTCCTACAACCAGAGCAAGTGAAACATGTCATTTCATTTCACACTGCCGCTTTTCTCCAAACATGAAATGACAATCCGCTTTCTCACCTTGGTGGCAAACCTTCCCTGGGTGTAAAAAGGGTCCAGATAGTGGACCACAATATCAGCTGCTTCCTTCAGAGTCACTGGCTTCAGGGGCTCATTCACAGGGTGCAGAGCCCTCTCCTGTATGTTAGTGTTGAAGGTGACTCTTCTGCTGCTGCTGCTGTCTGCAAGGCGGCTGCGCTTGGCCGGAGGAGGCGACTCTCTGTTGGCTTTCATAGCTTCTGACAACTGGACATATAGAGATCATCATCAGTCACTGTGCAGGAAATACATATTAAAATTTGATGTGCAACAGACACTTACTGCTTCTGTTAGAGGTGCTTTGGCTTCTTCCTCTGGCTTGTTTTGTCTGTGTGTGAGGGGAGAATGATGTTAGATGAGAAAACGTGACTTTTCCATCAATGGTTTCATAAAGTTGTACACTTACTCTGTGGCTACTGGCATAGCCTCTTTAAAAGCATCTTGAACCAAGACGATCTCCGCCATTTCCTTGTCGTCATCATCATCAGGTATAACTATTACTTCTTTTTCACTTTCTTCTTGGATCACATGCCGAGTGTCTGATTCCACAGGGCTCCTCTCTGCAGCTTCTACA